TGTATATAAAAAAAAGAAAACAACCACCCGAGTGACATTATAATTGTATTCCATACAGTATCTGTAGTAGTGGCTTTCTTCAAGATTATTAATTCCAACCATCATAATGGGGTAACAACCAGATCTTCTGCGTGCCCCAACGTAGCTCTCGTGCCAAGTACTTTCTTAACCCTCGGCTGGCTGTGTTTGTATGTGTGTGTAGACGGGGACAGATCAATAAGGAAGAAGAGAGGGCACCTCAATCTTTCCTTCTGCCATAGTGTTCATAAGTACATAATTTCTTCTGATAGGGTGCAGGGATCAGTAAGGATGTGATGGGCTGTCTGATAAAACAAAGCAAGGCTATGGCATACACTTGAAAGAAAACAGAGAAGCCTGTAATTGTAGAGTCTGCCTGGCAAGAACAAAGGATGCTTATTTACACACAATATCCACATATAACACTTGTATCAACTCTGGATGGTTAAAGAACTGATAACAGTAACAAAGAGTTAGATATCCTGCATACCTCAGCTAGAAGTTAGGAATAGGGATGGCCTGGAGCAAATAGAATGTGCATTAGATAACTCCTGAAGATTTAGGAATAAGGACAGGTAAAAACTGGTTTCCCCTAGCCCTCCCCCTGTGGTCTATGTAGCCAATCCAGCACTGCTGAGATGTTTTGGGAAATGCTAAAGTGTTTGGGCTGGTGAAATTCCACTCTCAGGGCAAATGGCCTTGAAGATGCTACTGTGCCACCATGAACCAGATTCCAAAGAACTCTGTTGTTCCTCAACTGTCAATCCCCCCTCCCAATTTCTCATCATAAAAATATACAGCTTTATTGCCCATTTGTTCCACCCTCCCTTCCCCAATTGATGGCAGAATATTAGTGAGGCGCCAAGACGAAGATGGTGGATTTGAAAACAGCAGCAAGTACAGTAGAACCTCTGGCCACGAATGCTTCTGATCACAACCAAATCGGGTTCTGACCAGGGTTAAATCCAGCAGGCTCTGACAGGTTCTGGAGAACCGGTAGCGGAAATTTTGAGCAGTTCAGAGAACCGGCAAATACCACCTCTGGCTGGCCCCAGAGTGGAGTGGGAATGGAGATTTTGCAGTATCCTTCCTCTGCCATGCCCACCAAGCCACACCCACCAAGCCACATCATGATCACCAAGCCACGCCCACAGAACCGTTAGTAAAAAAAATTGAATTTCACTACTGGTTCTGACCAAACAATTCACAATTTTTTTTCCCTGGGGCCAATTTCCCCTTCTGCTCCATTTTTGTTGTAATTTCCAAAATTAGCTTCCGGTCACGACCAAATCGGTTTGCAACCAGTTATGGAATGAATTATGGCCGTGACCAGAGGTTCTACTGTAGATCTGTCCTTAACAGGCTATTGCTCCTCAGACCGCTGATGAGATTGTTGGGACTTCACGAAAAGTTATTTTGGCCCCATTTTTACAACCTTTAGAATGTAAAATAGGGTGCATTGTGTTAACCCATCAGTTCCTGTACTTACCAGAATGTCCAGTCCCACTTTTGGGGAAGAAGAGCAACCGCCCTAGTAATAAAAGAAGAAATTTCCCCAATCCCACCATAAATAGAAAATGCAGTGAAACCTTGGGTTTGGGCAGCAGGACAGCCAGGGAATATTTGTTTAAGCACTTATAGTGTCTTTAGTCCTGAGGGGACAGGTGGACAATATAAAGCAATATAATATTAAATGGGAGGCAAAGGAAGGTCTCCAGCCCATTACAGAAAATTTCCTAAAATGGGGACTCATAATCCAAACATCTTCACCTTGGAACATCCTAATGTTGCCTGTTAAGAAACCAGATGGGCCCTTTCATTTTATACAAGACTTGAGCTGGGTGAATACTAACACCCTTACCCTCCATGCAGTAGTACCCAATCCATATACTTTGTTGGCCCAAATTAATCCAAAATATAAGTGATTTACTGTGTTGGACTTAAAGGATGCATTGTTCTATATTTCATTATCAGAAGAATGCCAACCAATCTTTGCCTTTGAATGGCAAGACCCCATATCACCATGATGGCGAACCTATGGCACTGGTGCCCAAAGTGGCACGCAAAGCCATGTTGCCCGGCATGCGCGGCCTTGCCTGTTTGTTTTCCGGGTTTCTGACATGCATGCATGGGCTACAATCATTTGTCCTTTGAGCGTGTGGCAGTGCCAAAAGCCAGTGTGCGCATGCGTGCTGGCCAGATGATTGTTGGGTGTGCATGTGCACCAGAACCTGGAAGTTTGGCTGTTCTGGAGCGTGATCCCTTCATATGTGTGGCAGTGACAAAAACCGTCCTGCATACGCGTGCCAGCCAGCTGATCGTTGGGTGTGCAAAACCCAGAAATTCGGCTTTTCTGGAGTGCAGCCCTGACGAGCATATGCATGCACGCACAACGTTTCTACACAAGGTTCACCATCACTGCATTAGACTGTCAATGCAGATCAACTTCTGGGTTTGTGTCCAAGTCAAAGAGAAGAATAGTAGATTTAAGTTAAATTCCTGGCAATACCAATATTCTTCAGTCATTTGTCTTTTATTTTGATGATTACATAATGTTGAGAGAGTTGTTCATTATTGAAAATATTCAACAATGTGAAAGTACTTTGGAACAGATCATTCCCTTGGTTAGAGATGCCACTTAATGATAACAATTTCTAATTCTTTCTCAAATAAACATGCTATCATTGTGAGAGTAATTTTTTTTTTTTTAAATTTGATTTATATGCCGCCCTTCTCCGGAGACTCAGGGCGGCTTACAATGCATTAAGCAATAGCCTTCATACTTTTGTATATTTTATACAAAGTCAGCTTATTGCCCCCACAAACTGGGTCCTCATTTCACCTACCTTAGAAAGGATGGAAGGCTGAGTCAACCTTATGCTTTCAAGAGGAAGATTGAGAATCATATAATGAAATCTCGGACTTGGGGTATTCTTAGCAACCATTTGAAGTCATGATGAACCCTTCCCTAAAGGTATATATGATCTGATTTAAAAATTCTGGTGGCTGCACACAACCCCCCTTGCAGTCACATGATCACATTTTGGGGCTTGACAACTGGCTCACATTTCTGGACATTTGCAGTGTATCATGATCACATGACAATGATTTGCAGGTTTTTTTGCCAGTTTCCAGCATTTACTTCTGGTTTCCTGCAAAAAAATCCCTTTGGGTATAATGGATTTGTTTAACAACCATTGCATTCAGTTAATGACTGTGGTATTCATTTAATGATTATGGTGTTCACTTACTGACCATCCCAAAAAAGGTTGTACAATCAGGTATGGTCATGTGATGACCCATTTAACAAGCATCATGACTTATGACCATAACTCCAGGTTCAATTATGGTTGAAAGTCAGGGACTAGTGTACTAGACAGGAATTTGGTCAGTATTGGTGATGTCCCTAATGGCCTCAAAACAAGATTTCTCATACTGCGGTTGCAACTCCAGGGAAATTTGTACTTGTTGGATATTTTTAATCTTAAATTCTAGCATTCTGTAAGCTGCTTAGTATCTTAGTGCCTAAGGAACAGGCTCAGGCTCAACCCATCCAAGACCGAGTGGCTGTGGTTTCCAACGTCCCGATATAGTCAGTTGGCGCCATCACTGACTATTGGGGGCGAATCATTGGCCCCCACGGAGAGGGCTTGCAACTTGGGCGTCTTCCTGGATTCACGGCTGTCTTTAGAAGAGCATTTGATGGCCGTGACCGGGAGGATTTTTCATCAGGTTCGCCTGATTCGCCAGTTGCGTCCCTTTCTGGATCGGGACTCCTTACGCACAGTCAGTCATGCCCTCGTCACCTCCCGCCTGGACTATTGTAATGCTCTCTACATGGGGCTCCCCTTGAAGAGCACCCAGAGGCTCCAACTGGTGCAGAGTGCGGCCACGCGGATGGTAATGGGAGCGACATGGCGCTCCCATGTAACACCTCTGCTACGCAAGCTGCACTGGCTCCCGGTGATCTTCCGAGTGCACTTCAAGGTTTTGGTTACCACCTTTAGAGCGCTCCATGGCTTAGGACCTGGTTACCTACGGGACCGCCTACTACCACCAATAGCCTCCCACCGGCCGGTACGCTCTCATAGAGAGGGACTCCTCCAGGTGCCATCAGCCAAACAATGCCGGCTGGTGGCCCCTAGGGGGAGAGCCTTCTCTGTGGGGACACCTACTGTCTGGAATGAGCTCCCCCCGGAGATACGGAGGATCCTGGATCTGCGTACCTTCCGCCGCGCTGTGAAGACCTTTTTATTCCACCAGGCGGGCTTGGCCTAATCTTTTCCCTCTTTTTAATATGTAAATTTTAATCTGTTTTTAAATTATTGGGCTGTTTTAATTTGTCTGGGCCAAAATGGTTTAATTTGATTTTATCTGGTTTTTTAAATTTTTTATATTTATGTATTTTATTGTTTGGCTGTTCAGCGCCCTGAGTCCTTCAGGAGTAGGGCAGTATACAAATCAAATAAACTAAACTAAACTAAACTAATGGGAATTTAGTACTATAGACACTTTAATGAGTTAAATGAATGAATGAATCTTGGTGACAGGATTGAATTTAAAAAATATGAAACTATTGTGTCCTTTTGTTCTTGAGCTGTTAACAATATTGTCTTCTTCAAATGATTATTTACAGAATGTTATTTTGAGAGACAAACTGAATGCTAGAGATTAACAGGGCAGAGAAGTCAGTTATGTCAACCAACAATTACTGGTGTCAAATATATGGATTATACTTAGAAAATTAAAGAGAATCAGTATGCCCACTCCTCTCAGTTTGTTTCTTTTCATAATAAGAGAAAGTGCAGGTATGATTAATTGAATCATCAGCCAGATTGTTCATATTTTCTAGAGTGCTCATATGGGGCCATCACAAAAAGATGATTTAGGGCCTCTCTTTTATGAGGGTACAGAGAAATCAAACTTCTGTAACATGCAATAAATCTAAATGCCCTAATTTAAAAAAAATTCTGCAAAGAATGTTAGAATATTATAGTATGCATCACTTTATTGCAGTTTTAGTCAGACAGAATTTTAAACAACTTTAAGAAAAACCCTTTCAAATATTTGCTTCATTCTACAAATCTGATATCATAATAAATAAAATTACATACAATATTTCAGATCCTTTACAAAAAGTTTTGTCCCATAGAGTTGTTGATTTTGTTAAAGGTAGAGAGAAACTAACCATGTTTATTTTGCAGTCTGAATTTTATATTTAGCTTCCCATTATTGTCAAACGTAGTTTTAGGAACAGGAAAAAATATACAAAGAAAAATATAAACTTTTAATCACTGATCCACACAATTCAGTTTTTCATTCACTTGCTAGCTTACATTTTGAGTTTCTCAGTTCTTCATTTTCTTAATAGCCAGTTTTCCCTGGTCAATGCATTTTCTCTGTTTGTAGTACTAATCAATTGTTGCAATACATGTATCATATTTTCAAAAAAAAAAAAAGATGTTTTCTATTTAGGTTCCTTTAATGATATAAATAAAAATGAAGTAGGCTGTGGAAGTTCAAAATTTGCACATTGATATAAATGTTATATATCAAATAGTCAACAATTATGCTCTGAATTTGTACACAGGTAGTCCTCACTTAATTATGGTGATTGGGACTGAAATTTCCATTGCTAAGCAACAGGTCCTAAAGTGGGACATCACATAGTACTCTGATTAGCAATGGAAAATCTGGCACTACCAGTTGCTTTAGTTAAGCAACTCATGTGGGTCATTAAGCAAGGATGTCATATGATCACCATTTGCAGCCTCCTACTGTCTTTTCCATTGACTTTGCTTGTAGGAAGCCAGCAAAGAAGGTTGCAATGGCAATCATACAGCCGCTGGACACTGTGACTGTCATAAGTGCCACTCATTCAGCAGCATCATAAGATTGCTGAGTAAGTGGTCATTAGTGAAGACCACCTGTAGTTAGAGCATTTGTTATTTAAGTCCCAACCATACATTTTAAAAAGCATTAACTTTTTTTTTTAAAAAAATGAGTGAAATATAGCTGAGTTGATTGGTTCATTATATTTTACAGTAGATATCTCTGTCTCGCCTCCTATAAACTATTTGTCAAATGTGTAAACTATGTTTAAAGGCTTTGGTGTTGATAAAGTATATGCACTATAAGAGAGAGAGAGAGAGGGAGGGAGGGAGAGGGAGGGAGAAGGAGAGGGAGAGGGAGAATATACATAAATCCTCATCCATGCAGGCTCAAGAGTTTTATGAAAACTGCATGTTTTACAAATATTGGAAGCAGTAGGGATCTCTATATGAACCTACTATGGATGTGGAATTGGATTCTACAAATACATGTGATGTAGTTCCCATAATATTCATCAGAGAGCTGATTTATTCATCCTGTCCCCCACATCTGCTCTATAAATATCTTGCTGCAATTTTGCATTTTGCAACTAATCTAGCAGTCTGATGATTCTCAAAAACGATCCAAAGTGTTTATGCCATTTTTGTCTTTTCACCCATTCTTCTTTCTATATATTGGTAATAACAATATGACTGGTGGTGATGAAAAAATGAGAAAATGACATCATCATCCTAGCTTTTTCTACTTGCACCCCAGTGTTGGACACAAATATTTAATTTACATGTTTACACTGCATGTTTGCACCACACATATTTAATCTTTTGCTCACTCCCACCCATCAATGCATATGGCTAATTTACAAGAATCATAAGAAAATATGGTCTTTTATAATTGCACTAGGAGCCAAAAATGCCTATGTACATCTACCAACACACACAAAAAAAGAGCCAAATTACCAATGTTATAGCATTGGCTACATTGAATTGATTTTGTAGAGGACATTTTTCTTTCAGATTCAAAGTACAGGTAGTCCACGACTTACAACAGTTCATTTACTGACCGTTGAAAGTTACAACAGCACTGAAAAAAGTGACTTATGACCATTTTTCACACTTACAACCACTGCAGCATCCCCATGTTCATGTCATCAAAATTCAGATGCTTAGCAAGTAGTTCATATTTATGACCATTGCTGTTTCCCAAGGTCAAGTGATCCTCTTTTGCAACCTTCTCATAAGCAAAGTCAATTGGGAAACCAGATTCACTTAACAACTGGCTTACTACTTATCAACTGCAGTGATTCACTTAACAATTTAACCAACTTAAAATGGGGCAAAACTTACTTAACAAATGTCTCACTTAATAACAGAAATTTTAGGCTCAATTGTGGCTGTAAGTCGAGGACCACCTGTAAAGCAAAATTGTATGCCAAAATGTGCCACATTATTTTATAGGAGCCAGAAAAATACAAGAATAAAATGCTACAGAAATATAATTCAGCTATCAATGCTGAAACGAATGCCAGCCCTTTTATGACACAAACTGAAATATTTGAGATATTTCATAGACCAGATACTGAGAGGCAGAGAGTAAATTTGATCAAGGAAGGCATATTTCCATTCTACTTCACTGGATGGACAATAGTCTGAAACAGAAATAAAAGGCAGACAATTTTCAAGATGAAAGATAGAGATAGATACTGTAACTGTCTGAAATGTGAGGCTTAAAAAGAGCTCAGGAATCTTCATCAATATGGAGACAAGGGTTCAGTTCAATGTTCAGTTTGTGCGCCTCTACATTTTTATTAATGATCTGAGTGGGAAAATAGAAGAAATATTTATCAAATTTGAAGATGATACAAAAATGAATAGGAAATCTAATGCATAGTTTTAGAACAAGGTTTTTAAAATTTTATGGCGTTGTGACCCCTTAAATGAAAAATGAATTTGTATGATGCTTTCTTATTTCTTGCCCACAAGGAATAAAATTAATGATCTCTTTGGAGCTAGTTAGGCAAGAAATAAGTATACCAATTACTTTTATTAATTATATTTTAATCTGTATATTAAACAAAATAATTATAGAATCCACCAGCTTTATAAAATAAAAACTTTATAAACAATAAAAGTATCAAATTTAAAACTGTACTTTTTAAATGGGAAACATGACCTTACTTACTTTGGCAAAATTCTTGATTTTATTTTTGAGACAGATACTCTCATTTCTTGTTCTGTGTTTATTTTGGATCAATATTTGTTCTTTATTGAGGCAATTCCAGAGAAACAGAACTTTGTGCAAGTTAATACTCTTGCTTGTGCGGGAAATCCTTCTAAATCCTTCTAAAATCTCCATGGGATGTCTTGGTCCATAGTTGGAGAATCCATGTGTTAGAATATATTAATCTAGGTGATTAATACAAATCAAAAGTAAGAAAATGATTATGAAAGAATGCAATTTAGGAGTCAAATGCAAAGTTACTCACTAAGGAAAGAAAAATAAAGTATTTATAATGCCAATTGTACTTGGGAAACAGTTGTAGAATATAAGTTGAATATGAACATAAAATGTGTTCATGGCTACGAAAGAGACAAATATAATTTTAGTAGAAATATAGTTTTTCAAATTGTGGGAAACATGTTTCATTCTATTTAGACTTGAGTACTGTATTTGACACCACATTCTAAAGAATCAATCAATTTAAGATATTCCAAAGAGTGCAATGAAGATGATTAGAGAGGGAATCTAAATTCTCTGAAGAAAGTTTATATCCCTCTGGATTCTACATAGGACAAATAGGGCAAGCTTTGTGCAAAATAACTAATGGACAGAAATTGACATAAGGATTCAAAACAAAACAAAACAAAACAACCCTCCCTGACTCCATTATCACAGTAAGAGTCTATCACGTTTATCGGTCTGATTGCCAAATCCGCAGAGGGGATGGAGTAGCTATCTTCTACAAAAAGTCACTAAACTTAAAAAATATTCAAGTTGCACATGAGCTCGCTCCTCTGGAAACTATTGTCTGTTAAACACCACACTTCGCTTCTTACTATGTTACAGAGCCCCTGACTATGATATCGCACATGCGAACAAGTTAACTTCACTACTAATGTGGGCAGCCTCCTGCTCATATCCTCTCATCTTTCTTAGTGATCTCAACCTAGTTCTTATTAATTGGACAATAAACTAATGTACAACTGAACCCATACATGCAACCCTATACAATGCTGTTACAAATCTAGGTCTAGATCAACTAGTAACAAACAACACTAGACTCAACAACTGCCTTGACCTCATCTTCTGCAACAGTTTAAACTCAATTTATGGACAACAGATAAAAGAACCCTTTTCCAACAGTGACCACAGCATGATTGACTTTTGTCTCAATATACGTCCTTCTATAATTTTGTAAACAACAAACTTAAAGACTCAAGATCCATCCCACCCCTAAAAGAATCTAACGGTAAAGAATGCAATGATGAAGCAGTTTATTTATTTATTATTTATTAATTCAATTTGTATGCTGCCCCTCTCTGAAGACTCAGGGTGGCTCACAATGCATTTAAAATCATTATAAAAATATTTAAAAATTAAAAACATTAAAAACATTAAAACTCATTCACACCATTCATGGCCGGTTAAAGCAAACCTCTTCAACACATTCTTCGGTTCAGTCTTTGTAAACAGCAATGGATCATGCCCAACATTCCCTAGTCGTACCACAAATAACTACAATGATCTAACACAAATAGATTTCACAGAAGATAACATTGAAAAGGCACTACGCAGACTAAAATCATTTCTTATCTTTCGGACCTGATGGACTATGTACATACTTCTTAAAAAAGCTTTCCACTGCTATAGCAGAACCCCTAAGCATAATCTTTAAAAAAAACCTTCAGGACTAGCTCCCTACCCAACCTATGGTCACTAGCCAGGGTCATCCCTATCTTCAAAAAGGGAGACCCCAGCCTAGTTGAAAATTACAGACCAATCTCTTTATTCTGCGTCACCTGCAAAGTCATGGAATCAATCACTAACATTCCATTACCTCCCACCTAGAAACAAACAACCTAATCGCTAATAAACAATTTGGTTTCAGAAAAAAATTATCCTGTAATCTACAACTTCTACACTGCAAAAACATATGGACTACAAGTTTCGATCAGGGCAAAGCAATAGACACAATTTACATAGACTTCTATAAAGCCTTTGATTCAGTGGTACATGACAAACTACTTCTAAAACTAGAATCCTATGGCATCTCCGGACCCCTACATAATTGGATAGCTGCATTCCTGTCAAACAGACAACAAGTGGTCAAAATAAGGAGTGCCCTATCAAATCTTGCATCTGTTAATAGCGGTGTCCCCCCAGGCAGCGTTCTAGGAGCAACACTCTTTATACTATACATAAATGATCTTTGTGATCATATTATAAGCAACTGTGTTCTCTTTGCCGATGATGTAAAAATATTTAACACCACTGGCAATGCTGCTGCCCTTCAAAAAGACCTTGACTTTGTGTCGGAATAGTCAAATAATTGGCAACTCCAAATCTCAACCAACAAATGCTCTGTCTTACACATTGGCAAAAAGAACCAGAACACAAAATACAAGCTGAGTGGACATGACCTTGTAGATGACCCTCACTCTGTCAAGGACCTTGGAATACTCATATCTAATGATCTAAGTGCCAAAGCCCACTGTAACAACATCGCCAAAAAGGCATTAAGAGTTGTAAAACCTAATCTTGCATAGCTTCTTCTCCGGTAATATCACACTACTAACCAGAGCATTTGCTAGACCAATTCTCGGATATAGCTCATCTGTCTGGAATCTGCACTGCATATCGGACATTAATACAATTGAACGTGTCCAGAAATATTTCACAAGAAGAGTCCTCCACTCCTTCACTTGCAACAAAATACCTTATGTCACCAGACTCAAAATTCTGGGCTTAGAAAATTTAGAATTATGCCGACTTCGGTATGACCTAAGCATAGCTCATAAATTTATCTGCTACAATGTCCTACCTGTCAATGACTACTCCAACTTCAACCATAACAATACATGAGCACACAATAGATACAAACTTAAAGTGAACTGCTCCAAACTCGATTGCAGAAAATATGACTTCAGCAACAGAGTGGTCAATGCCTAGAATGCACTACCTGACTGTGGTTTCATTCGAAAACCCTCAGAATTTTAACCTAAGACTGTCTACTGTTGACCTCACGCCATTCCTAAGAGGTCTGTAAGGGGCATGCATAGGAGCACCAGCATGCCTACTGTCCTTGTCCTAATGTTTCCTCTATTTGTATCTATTTTATGTATTCAATTCATGCTTATACTTATATATATTATCTAATACATTCTTGAAAAATAAATAAATAAATAAAGGCAAACTAACCTCAGAACATTTCAGTTTCCCAGGATCCTCCATGACAGATCTCAAAGTAACCATTACTAACACAATTCAGTGACAGATAAGTCAAAATACCTAAATGTAAGATCTTTCAACACGCATGTTTTCTAAGCACTGAAAACCACAAAATCTGGATCACAGTGTTTCCTGGAGTTAGATTTCAGCAGTTTTGAGGCTATATTGTACCTACTGAAGAACTGTTTATGGAGATGTAACCATGGAGACAAATACTTCAAGGAGAGCTGTTAGGAAAAACTATTCAATAAACAAAATTATACATAATATGCTTACGCTATTGTAAGTGTCAGTGATGGGAAGAAGAAACCAATGATTGCTTATATTTAAAAGGAAGAAATGTGGAAGCAAAGCGGGGACTGGCTTAGTAGAAAATTATTCTGCGTCAAAGATCAGATTGGGAAACTAATCATCTTCATTCTGCTTACTACTTTAATCTTAGAAGCACATCTGTGCCAGCACATCTGCAGTAGCACAACTGCACCTGTAAGGCAACATTGTCCATGAAACTGGTATAGCCTAGGCCTCGTATCAAATTCTTTTCTGATTGCTAGCAGTAGGTATTACATCTGGTTCCTTTTTCTGAAAGTTTACAGGAATGAAAAGGATGAATTGCTTGGGTTCAACAGACCATCTCACAGTTCCCAATCTCAGTTGCTATTGCTCTATCCCTTCATTATGGAAATATTTTTTTATTTCTTAATATTTTCTTAATACTTTTATTAACAGACGCCTTCTCTGCAGTCCAGATTGTGTTAGCTATTTGTTTTCCCAAAGTCTTCCATTATCCTAAAATTTTAATGCCAAATGAAATGCAATGAAAAGGCCAAACAACAAAAAAGGAAACAGACCATAGACAACTGTTAAATTTGTTCCACTGTTTTTCTTTTGGAAGTGAATTAAATCCAACACAATGTCAAATTCTCTCTTGCTCCTTTTCCTCTGATTTTTGCTTTAATGTCACCCAAATTACTTGGTGTGCAAAAATAACTATATGCTTAAAATACAGTAACAAATAAAATAAATGAAATAAAATAACCTGAAGCATGGCAAAAGGAAGAATATGTGAACAGATACTGTGTACATCTGTGAGCTATGCATCCTTCAACATTACTTCATCTTATGCAAGTCCAATTTCCTTAATTCTCTCCAAAGATTTAGATCTGGAAAATACCCCTGGGAATTGGTCCTTGGGGTGTCTTAATTTAATTATTACATTTTATTAAAATATGAAGCCAAAATAATATACCTCTCTTATTATTAGAGGGCTGTGGTTTTTCAATATTAATATATATATATCAGTAGATGTACGTGGGATAGGTGCATTTTATATAGAAATTTAATAAAATAAATAAAATAAATAAATAAATAAATAAATAAATAAATAAATAAATAAATAAATAAATAAATAAATATGAGATTTTGGCACATTCTGTGATGATCTTAGTAATATTTTATCAATTGTTTTAATTGTTTTATTGTACACTGCTTAGAAAAACAGTATATATAAATTGAGCGATTTGTTATATGAAAACTTGTTATAATTAACCATTGACTGGTAAGGCTGAATAATACTGATTGTACATCAGAACCTTCTTACAATATAAAAGTAGCATGCAATTAAGAAAAGCTCGCTATGGAAAACTAAGCTGTTTTTTCCCCAAAAGAAGAGTCAGAGAGAGAAGAAAATATATGAGGAATGTGATGCTAATAAGGATAATTGGATAAAATTGGAGGTATCAAATTCTTGTCTGGATTGCACATTTCGTTTCATCTATTAGCAATGATAGCTTCCCTCATTCATGAAGCAAGTAGCCTTTGGCAAATTCTTCTCTATTTGCTTCTGTCCTCCTGGGACAAGATGAATACTGATCTGTTTTAAAAGGTCAATAATCCAGCAGTACTGTAATGCAATCAAAATAGGTTGGTGATACATATTTCCTAGATGAAATTTCTGCAGTCTGTGGAAACCTGAACCCTGTTCTTTTTCTCAGCATGATAATTAGTTCTTGGATGTCATGATGGTCTTACAGAAGTTCTTACAGAATAATAGAGTTGGATGGGACTTTGTAGGTCATCTAGTCCAACCCCCCCCCCGCTCAAGCAGGAGACCCTATGCCATTTCTGACAAGTGGCTGTCTATCCTTTTCTTGAAAGCCTCCAGTGATGAAGCACCCACAACATCTGAATGATGTGTTTAAACTGATGTTTGCTAACACTCATTTTTAGCAGTCCCACAGATCTAACTAAGTCATCTACTTGTATATCCTACTTCAATCTTGATGAGTTACACATTGCATGATCTATTTGAATAAAGACCTGGGGAGCAATGATTGATCCTTCCCAGTACCTTATTTTCAATGAATATTAAGGATGAAATCTTGATATTTCCTATACCAGAGGATGTGAAAGATTCATTCATTCACTCATTCATTTATCTCAGTTTTGAATTGAAAAGATATTTGTTAATGAGTGGGCATTGTAAGTTACAAGGGTTTACCTATTTGTGAAATCTGCATTGAAAGTACCCTTTTCTCAGGCACTACTTAATTTTATGTTGTAAGTCATTAATAAACTTCCCACCAAGTAATTGTCATCAAACCAATGGCCTGGAACAGAATGATCAAATCCTGGCTTCCTTCTTGGGCAGAAATACAACATTGCTATCTGTGAGTTTCTTCACATAGACAGGTTTTTGTCCATGCTTGGAGTCTATTTTGGATTCTTTTGGATCATGCCAAGAAATGAGTATGCAAAACAGCATATCTCCTCTTTTCTTAGAAACAGACTTCCTTTGAAAGACTGCTGGAGTAAAAATAAAATAAAATAACTGGCAAAAGAAAAGGGAAGTATATTGCTAAGAAAAGCCCTAATATTTTTTACAGCACACTTCCTCAATATGGTATGCACCAGATGTGTTGGAGTATAACCTATGCCATGACTCTGGGGTTATGTTGGGTAAGGATTAGACAACTTTTAAGCACCATATCTGGGAAAATAGATTGGGCTAGGTCAATTTTTCTTTTTTGTTTTTCATATTACTGTAGCACTGGGTAGGTACAGATTACAACTTCAAAATGAACAATCTTATCAATGGGCTATCATTTTTTTAAATTTTAAGCTAACCCATGCAAAAAAAAAAAAGGTATATACTTACTTACACAGCTTAGAGGCTATCTCCTAAAAATGGTGTATAGTTTACAATTTTAAAAGGTAAGAACAATATATAAATATTAATTGAACACACACACACACAAAGCCATAAGGGGTTTTTTAGGTGATAAGTAGTACTTTGAATGGCATTCAGTAACCAACCCGTAGTAAGTACAGCTCATGGAACAGTGGATCCTGATGGACATAATAAAGCATGGTCATTATTGCCTGTATCATTGCATTCTGTACCAGTTGTAGCTTCTGAGTGACCGTCAAGGGCAATCCCATATAGATCATGTATAATTCATTTGTGAAGAGACTAAGGCATGAGTGACACCTCTAATGGGCCTTCTGGTCCAGGAAAAGCACAACTGATGCACTAGATGAAGCTATAAAAAGCTCCCTTGGCCACATTGCTATTTGAGCAGAAACTGTGGGTCCAAGACAATCCACAGATGGGGTGAACAAAGATGGAAAATTCCCAATCTCAGCTGATTCAAAAATCTACACCCACAGTGTTTCCTCAGGATTGAACCTGCCCACCCGGCTGTGAATCCCTCCTTGTGAAATGGGGCCACGGGGTTCAGCTGGGTTTGCTGATCACATACCTGGCTCCCTGCCATGTGGCAGCAGCCCTGCCCGAGCTACTCAGTGTCATCGCCACGGTGGCGGTTGAGACCCCTAGGCTTATGGTCATGGGGGATTTCAACTTGCCGTCCGTTGGTGAGGCATCTGAGGTGGCTCGGGAGTTCATGGCTTCCATGACAGCCATGGACCTGACCCAGTTAATTCATGGCCCTACCCACACGGGGGGAAACACGCTGGATCTGGTTTTTGTCTCTGGACAGTGGTTGAGTGATCTCGAGATAGGGGATATAGTCACCGAGCCCTTGTCATGGTCTGATCACTCTCTCCTTCGTCTCGACCTTCGAACCGCTACACCCCGCCGCAGGGAGGCGGAGCTGGTAAGATGGTTCCGCCCCAGGTGCCTGATGGAACCGGATAGGTTCCAGATGGAGCTTGGGCCATTCCCTGAGGATCTGGCACACGCCTCGACTGGAGACCTAGTGGCCGCCTGGGATAGGGCGGCCGCTGGAGCTCTGGATCGGGTCGTGCCTTTGCGGCCTCTGACCCGGCGCCGATCTCATTTAGCTCCTTGGTTCACTGAGGAGCTGAGGGAGTTGAAGCGCCGGAAAAGATGCCTAGAGAGTAGTTGGAGGGCCAGTCTTTCTGAATCTGACCGGACACTGGTAAGAGCCCATATTAGGAATTACCTAGTGGCGATAAAAGCAGCGAAATGTAGCTATTTTGCTGCTCTTATTACGTCATCAGATAATCGCCCGGCCGCCCTGTTTAGGGTGACCCGCTCCCTGCTCCACCAGGAAGCGCGGGAGGACCCCTTAGAGGGTAGAGCCGAGGATTTTGTTCAATATCTGTATGACAAAATCGCTCAGATTCGGGAAGATCTGGACTCCGACTGGATAGTCTCAGGGGGAGGGACTGGGGCAGGTCTTGAGAATGTTATCTGGGATGAGTTTGATCCTGTGACCCCTGAGGACGTGGACAGGATTCTGGGTAGACTGAACGCGACCACTTGTTTATTGGACCCGTGTCCCTCCTGGTTAGTGCTGGCTTCTCGGGAGGTGACACGAGGCTGGTTAAAGGGGATTATAAATGCTTCGCTGGGTGAGGGTGTCTTTCCTGCCGCCTTGAAAGAGGCGGTGGTGAGGCCTCTCCTCAAGAAGCCTTCCCTGGACCCGGCAATGTTGATAAATTATCGTCCGGTCTCCAACCTTCGTTTTGTGGTGAAGGTTGTTGAGAGTGTGGTTGCGCAACAGCTCCCCCAGCACCTGGATGAAACGACGTATCTGGATCCGTTCCAGTCGGGCTTCAGGCCCGGGTA